TCTGAAATTCCAGTTTAAGCTTACAATGAGTTCCTAAGTTCCTAAGTACGAATCCTAAGTTTATGATCAGAATGTCAAATGAATCCTCCACTAGAAATCACAGTCCCCGATCTTGAGTCCATACCGTATACCCAATGTAGTCTTTGCGGCAAGTTTATGGTATGGGCTATATTAGCATGCTGTGTTTCGCATGGGTGGGTCATCAGAGTGGAGTACAGAATGAATATCCAAAAAAGTTTACCATAAATGGGTTTTGTGCTGGATATCATGTATTTCACCTTATATGAAAAATTAGTCTTTGTAATCTTTTCGCTATATCTGGAAGTTCCAAAGATCTTGTTTGCAAAAAGTCTTCTGCTCTCTTCTTAATTCAATTTCTTTCGAAGACCATAGAATAGTTTAGTCGAGTTGCAAATGAATGCGGCCTTCTTTCTCATCAGGGAAATCGTTTTCGTAGGGCTAATGCAGTTTGGCTGTGTGTAGTCGGAGGAATTTGGCTCCGTATAACGAGATTAACTAGGGCAAGAGCTGACGCCTTCCAGAGCTTTTTGGAATCTACTATTTGGGAGTAAGAAGAGGGCTAAAGTTCAAAGAAAAAGGGATAAGATATGGCCTCTCAAAGGGCCGTCTAGACATCTTCTTTGATAGATTTTTCTGGGGGAAAAACTGAAAAAATGTGGGAGGAAAGAGTGATGGTCCTCTTACTCACTCTGAAAGCTGTAATAATTCACTGTCAATTTCTTTTTTTAGGTATCTGTCAGCGTCCCGCAAATGGGTTCCAGAGGGTATTGATGCCTGCTCTAGTTACCTACATCTGGTCGCTTGGGGAACGGCTGCATTAATGACTATTGTGGTTTTGGTTACACAAAAGGTTCGTCACGTCAAAAGTGCAAATTTTTCTCCTCGGGAAAAAAATCAAATATCACTTTTTGCCTCTCTAGGTGGATGCATCAGAACTTTCTGGAATTTGTTCGGTGGGCAATACGGATCCAAATGCTCTTTTGGCTTTTTCGCTCATTCCCAGATCTTTACTAGTCTTTCTTGGCACTTGCTTTGTCATTGCTGGATTTGCCAGCATGTGCCGTGAACGTGACAGCTTCAGAAGACGAGTAAGTTGTCGCAACTTTTCCCTATGCCCATACAGTAATCTTCTTCGCCCATACCGTAATCCTCACACTATTACAGGGCACCGACACTTCAAAACTGGACAAACTAATGTTCAAAATGGGTCTTTTCTGTTTGCTCTACATTTTTCCTGCTGTTACGCAAGTGCTTTGCGATATCTATGCGTTTAACACGGCCAAACGATGGTATCCGACGACAATTGCATGCAAAAGAAGTGGTGGCGTCGAAGGAGGACATTGTCATCGGCCACATTTACCACAGGTATGTATGATAGCTACGTGAGATTTCGGGAACAGGAAATCTCAGATCGGCTCGGAAACAAATTCAAATAAGAACCAAGACAGTTGCGTTCAGGATGCAAAATTAAAAAAATTACAAGGAGATGGGTCCGTGAGGGGCGAGAAATCGGTTTGGTTGAGTTATAAGAACACCAAGCAACCTAATTCTTGGAAATGGGTGCTGTAGTTTTTTTTATTTATATTAGGTTGATTCATAATTAATGCAAGTTTTTCGTA